TGGCCTGGGTGCGGGGCTCTCGGGAGCCGCCCACCATCCGCCCGACACATTGGTCCTTAAAACCCATTGTGCACCTGGGACCGCCTTGGTCCAGGGCTCCGGAGCTGAGATGACCGTGTTTTGCGCCCGCCAGCAACACCCCCCCGCAGCCACCGCCTTGGAATAGGCCCCAGCCCTATCCCGTGGGCTAGCTCTGCCTCCAGGCACCCGTCACTGTCCGGAGGTGCCCAGGACACCTGGTAACTCTGCGATGGCCTCCCCAGCATGTTGACTCCTCCTCGCTAAGCCTCTGCAACCTCATCTGGTGGCTGTGCCTCTGGTTTCCTGGTGGGGTCCGTGTTATCTGTCTCCCTTAGCCAAGGAGCTCCGCTTCTTTTGGTGCATCTGAAGCTCGTGGCTAGCTGTACCACAGCACTGGCTCATGGTGAGCGTCTGGTCAAAGAAAACCTTCAGGTGTTTCTCACAAAGAGCTGCTGTTGAGCCGGGCTTCCTCCATATTTCCCTTGTGAAATTGACTCTTGGAACCCAGGCGTTAGCCTTTGTAGTCATCCTTATTCAACATCATCTTGTTGATATGTTAACCCACACAGAGCGTGCTGAATCCTGCTTCTGTCATCCAACAGAGTGGCACTGCTTCCTGACTTTGTCTCATCCACACAGGTGACCACAGCCTCTGTGTCTTTAACAAGTGGCTGGTAGGTATGCAGAAGGCAAGGGACTCTGAAGCACACCTGGAGAGGCCTTGCTCCAACCTGACTTTGGGATGCAACCCACACCCTCCAGCTAAAGCAATGATATCAAGGGGCCCAGAATGGGGCAGCTCTGAAACACATCCATGCTTGTGCCCTCCCCAGCCTTCTGGGCACGTGGGACCGTCTCCTGGGCTTGGGAACTGAAACACAGAGGCCAAGGGGACCCAGCTTCCGGGTGGGAGCCGTATTAACGTTTCTAGGGCTGCCATAACAAATTACCACACACTTTGTGGCTTAACACAACAGAAGTCTACTCTCCCCTAATCCTGGAGACTAGAAATCTGAAATCAAGGCGTCAGCAGGGCCATATTGATTCCAGAGGCTCAAGGGAAGGACCCCGCCTTTCCTCTCCCAGCATCTGGGCCCCCTGGCAATCCTCGGCAGTCTTTGGCTTGTAGCCCATCACTCCAGCGTCTGCGTCTGTCTTCACATGGCCTTCTCCCCGGGTCTCCACGTGGCCCTCTTCCCATGGCCTTTTCTCTGTGTGTGCCTGTGTCCTCTCTTCTTAAAGGACCCCAGCCATAGAAGTCAGGGCCCAGGCAAACCCAGTATGACCTAATCTGAAGTCATTGCACTGCAAAGACGCTATTTCCACATAAGGCCACATTGTAAGGGTCTAGGTGGACATAAATTTTGGGGGCGCAGACATGATTCAACCCACAGGATCCCTGCGGGGTGGTGAGAGGACACGTCATGTCCTTCTGTGGCCATTGCTCTGCGGGAATTATGGGGAAGCTGAGGAAGAGAATTCGCCAGGAGAGCGGGGCAGAGTCGAGAGGCAGTGGCCATCTGGCGACTGCCTTCCCCTGTCTGCTTCCAGTGACCCACTTCACTTGAGCTAGCTTGAACGGGCTTCTGATCCCGGCAACCAAATGATGCCCGGCTAAGACAGTCTTTCATCCCCCACCACAAATCCACCGAATGTGTTATTTTAATCTCCGGCCTTTAACAGAGATGTCATGAGCCTTTTTGCTGAGGGCAGGATACAGTGTCCATAGCACGCGCTTGATCTGTAACCGCTGAATTTCCCCTCCTTGGAAAGGGGGGAGACGTCTGAGGGAGATGAACGGGCCCTGCTCCTCACCCTCGGCTGGGCTCAGACTGCCTGGCAGCACACTGCCCTGCGGCTCTGGAAGAAACCCCCTCCCCGTCCCAGAAACTGTGATCCTTTTCCAAGGGGTCCCGCCCCTTCCTCTCACTCCTTTCCCCAGCCCAGATGTGGGGCCCACGACTCACAGGGAGGAGGCTAGATCCTGTCTGAACTTGGAAAAATCCACATAACAAGGGGCTGGAAGGACAGCCGGACCCCGCTTCCCTTTCCCAGGTGGCTGACATCAAACCATGTTTAATTAGAACAGTCTCTTTCATTAGAACAGTCTCAGGAGCCAGCACTGGGGCCCCTTCCCGGTGGGGGTGGAGGACGTGGGTGGGGGAGATGCTCAGGGTCTCGGCTGGATCCAGGCAGAGGCCGGGGTCTCCCCCGCAGACGATGAGGCCACTTTGCATGTGCCAGACAGGAAACCTGGGCAGGCCAGAGGCAGGGGCGGGAGGCGGACTTGTCCTTCCCCTCAGCTCAGACTGGAGTTTCCACACCTGAATGGAGGCAGCTGAGGGGCCATGCGCAGGGTCACACTATCTGTTCATGGGGACATGCACGGCCATATCCAGACACACTCGGTCCACCCCACACCAACTCCCCATACACACACGCAGAAGCATACTTCCCCAGTCTCCACTCGCCCCTTAGGGACAGATGTGCCACCTCTCTCTTCAGGAGGGACAGGATGCCATCAGGACGACAAGATAACCCTGGGCAGGGAGCATAAAGTCTTGCGTTTGGGGTCCGTCTGTAAGTGGCACCGTGTGGGGCATGCGTAGGAGCCCCTGCCAGACCCTGAAGCATCCTTCCTCCATGGGCTCTCGGGGCAGAAGGAAAGAGCTGGCTCCTGGGACAGAGAGGCAGGTTTGCATGGTGGTGACCCACTCACCTGGGATAGCCCTTCCAGGCCTCCGAGTACTTCCCAGAATGCCAGGCTCCTCTCCCTCCCCAGGCTCCTCCCACCTCACAGGTTGTTCTCCGCATTTTATGGAGGCCACCACATAAGGTCAGTGAGAGCATCACAGAGTTTTATGGAAAGCAGGTCCCCTGAAAGAGACAGAAGTAGAAAGCGCTGACCCTGCTAGCTTCCTGGCACAAGCCTTTCCCTCCACAGATGAGCCCCCCAATGGGAGAAATTCACCTACCCCGGAGTCAACTGGTGGTGGCACCCATCCTAGGATACAGGGTCCGGCTCCACCACCCCCACCAGCTCCTTTCTTCTGAGCCTGTGCAGTCACCTCCCTGCACACGGGGCCACCTGCAGAAGTTCTGTGCAGCCAGCTCTGCCCAGCTCCCTCTTTCCTCAACATAAACATCAGCACACTCAAAGCCCAGTCGGCATTTTGATTACAGCCCCACGGCTTCAAAGAACGTTACAGTTAAATCCACACGCTGGCTTCTCCAGGACCCTGGGGTGTGTAGATGTGCAGCCCCAAGGTGAGGGCCTGGGAGAGAGTCCAGAAATCATGGACACTGTACTCTAAAGCCAGGATGGACTGCCACTGAGTTAGAGCTGCTTAGAAGGAACTTGAAAATTGTGCAGTGCTGGTGGATCCTCAATGTGGACACATGCAAACCAGATGCCATCATTATGCAAACGATATGCAAAATATATGTATGGGCCTCCCAACTTTCCCAAATGCCAGATGTGGCCCTTGGGGACCCTGAGTTTAGCTGAGCCCTATTGTGGGGAACAGAGATGACCTTGGACTCGTCAGTCTCTTATGGTGGGCAGAAGGGGCTTAGCTCTGAGGCTGTTCATGCCCTGGGGGAAGGACAAGGAGCCAATTGGACCTGGGTTTGAATCCCAGCTCCTCCACTCACAAGTTGCATGAGCTTTACGGAGTCACGTCACTGCTCTGAGCCTCTGTCTTCCCATCTTTAAAATGGTTACTATGAGGACTAAATGAGCACATTGGCTAAAGCTGCCATCTGCAGGGTCGGGCACTAAGAGACACTGACGAGGAGGCAGGGCTCAGAGTTCTTCTCTGAGAGGTGGACGTCTGGGCTTCTTTCCACTCGCTGAAGTGGTGGCTGCCGCGGGCAGGACCCTCTCCAGGGGCAGCCGCGTGGCTGTGGGCTTGGGAAGGTCAGTGCTGATGGACCAAGTATCTACCTGCTCCTCGTTTATCCAGAAATCTGCCAGAGTCCTACTCGCTAGGGGTGGGGTGGGTGCCCATTGGTGCCCTGACAGATCCCATTTTACCCGACAGTGCGCCCGCCACCCCCTCTGCAGGAGTGGTGACTGCTGATGCTCACAGCTACCCTTCCTGTGACTGCCCTCAGATACGAGAGCCCCCTCCCCTAGGAAGTTATACATCCTCCCACCCACAGCCAACGACTGGCCGAGACACGATACACAAGACTGGCCTCTTCGCTGCAAGGGTTTATGTTCCAGGCACCTCAGATCAGGGTACATCTAGGCTCCCCCTGAAACCTCATTCTTGACCTGCATGTGACACTCACTATGGCTGAGGACCGTAGGGGAGTGAGGGGTCCCAGAGGAAGTGCCTGGGGTTGGGTCAGAGATGTCTCCTGGAGCTCACCTGTGAGGAGAAAACATCCCAGGTGGCAGGTACAGTGTGTGCAAGGCCAGGAGGCAGGACACTGCTCGGTGTGCGTGTGGAAGCCGCAGGGCTGGAGGGGTGGGGGGAGGTGGGCCCTAAGAGAGGCTGGCAGGGACCAGACAAGAGGGACCTTGGGTACCCAGTGAAGAGCCTGGCTGTACAGCAAGGGGACATCATACAGAGCTGTCGTGAAAAACGTCCCCAGGCTGTCACTGCACAGAGCAGGCCTGGGGGGAGGCTGCCAGGAGACAGCGGCTGCTGACGGGGCAGCGGGGTGGCCCAGGGGTTGATCCCAGAGGCTTGTAGGGCAGAGAGCTGACAGGCCCTGGTGGCTGATTTGGGGACTATGAATGTGGGAAGGATTCTGGAAGGTGCCAGGCGGAGGGGAGACAAAACATCAGAACAGGGGCGCCCATGTGTGGGCAAGTGTGGGAGAGAGGAGGGTCTAATGAGCTGAGCGGGGCAGGCCTACATTCCCAGTGCCGGCCGTGGGCAGCCACAACCAGGCTGAGGAGGCTGAGCCTTGAGTGGGAGGCCTCTGTGAAGGCGGGTGCTGACAAGAGTGGGTGGCATAGCTGGCCGGGTTCCAGGGGACTGGGAGCTGCTCCCCGCTGCAGGGGCGGGTGTAAGGCCCTGGGAAGGGCTCCCG